GGCGCAGCCGGGGAAGGAGGGGCCTCTGCTCCCACCGGACTCGCAGCTTTAAACTTGGCGCTGCCCGCGGTCTGTCCGGTGCAGCTCCGGGCCTGGTGGCACCGCCGCCCAGAGGACAGCTGCTGAGCTCCCGCTGGCGGCCGGTGAGGATTAAACAGGCGGCTTCGCGGGAAACCCTGACACTGCGCCTCAGAGGGTGGTCGAAAGGGAACAGCCTGGTCCTGACAAGCCCCAGGGTCTCTGTCACCAGGCGATCTTCAAGGCGCCCACTGTCAACACTGCGAGACGGTCAGCACCTTCGGGGACAGCCGCCACCCGGGGACACTGAACAGACACTTTCAAAGATGTGAAAGGTGTTACTGCGGATCCTTGAGAAATTATAACACCTGCCTCTTTTGCTCAAGAATAGGGTTGTGATAACGTACTCCAGCGGTTCTCAACCTGTGGGTCGCAACCCCTTTGGGGGTCAAACGACCCTTTCACAGGGGTCGCCTAAGACCATCGGAAAACACATATATAATTACATATTGTTTTTGTGATTAATCACTATGCTTAATTATATTCAATTTGTAACAATGAAATTGGGGGTCACCACAACATGAGGAACTGTATTAAAGGGTCTCGGCATTAGGAAGGTTGAGAACCACTGACCTACTCAAAGGAGACTTCATTTCAAATAGGTGATCACAGTTGACAGAATTAATAACCCAAGATCTGGGTGTCTGGCTTATGGAAATGTCCTCCCCCGGCCACGCTCCCTCCCCCATGTAAGCTATCAAATCTTTTCTGAAACTGGATGGGGGTAAACATCTGTAAACATCTGTAAAATACAGTTTTTAATTCAATTAAGTGGTGAATGCTGGCTGAGTACAAGTCACATGCTAGTTGCCATCTGAGCAAGCTCTTATAAAGGAGTTCCTGGAATTGGACTTTAACCAATAGGATGGAGACTTTCCCCATCTAATTGGAGTTACACAGCTATATCGCCATCAGCATCTTGACCAGCCAATCAGAGTGGCTCCATTTGGACCAAGTAGGATGGCCCCTTTGGACCAATCAAACTGTGAGTATTTAGAGTCCTCATTTGCATGAGGGCAAACCAATCAGGGACCGGGGGCGGAGATTTCTCTCTACATAAGCCAGCTCTCCTCTGGCTCCCTCAGTGCTCTCCCTTTCCCGAGGTCTGCTTTCCCTCGGCTGGAGCTGAAACACTGACGATTGCTCACCAGGGCAGGGCAGCCCAGGGCAGGGCAGACAGACCAGGGCAGACAGCCCAGGGCAGAGCAGAGTGGAGAGACTGGACTGCAGAGCAGAGCTGTCTAGCCAGAGGGCCACCTGGCCCAGGCTGCCTCACAGCCCTGCTGCTTCGTCGCGGAGCTGGAGCACTATTGAGCTGCTGCACAGCCGTGCTGTTCTCATAATTGTGCTCTGTCACAACTGAGCTGTTTGCACTGAACACAATTTCCTTCTCTGCAGCTCTCCAAACTGGGGGTTCCTGTTGGCATTGAATCAGCGCCAAGCACCATGAGTTGACAATGTCAATTAAATTTAGCCTCGTCAGGCAGCCTGGAGCCACAGTGGAGCCGCGGCTTTGGGATCAGACAGCTTGGTTATGGGATCTGGCCTTACCATACTTACTGTTGAACTTGGGTGAGTCACTCAACTTCTGGGAATCTCGGTCTCTTTGTTCCAACATGGAGACCACACAAATATCCCTGCTGCTGTGTGCTGACCACGCGTCCTCTCCTTACCCTCCAGGCATGACCCGGCCCCAATCCCGAGGCTAAAGATTGTGAGCATGGAAAGGTCACAGGAGGCTTCATAAAGGGCCATTGGACTGAGCATCGAGACACGCACGCGAGGTGAGGGTGCTTGGGAACAGGAGAGGATTCTATTCTGAGCTTCGTCGGGGCCTCCATCTGCAGCTGGACTCAGCCGCTGGTCTGCGGGTGATCGGGCCTTTTTCTCCCACGGGCCTCAGTGATACGACGGCTGTTGTGGAGACGGGATGTGTACACTCCTGTCCCACTGCCACGTGTCTGTGAATGTTGAATGACGTCAGAGACTAATCATTTATCACACGGGGCATCATTGTTCCTGTTTCTGACTTGCTGTGAACTTAGAATCCTCTCAGTGCCTTGGCTCCCTTACCTGAGAGAGGAAATGACCATACTGATTCTGCTCCTGTGATTTAGGTGAACAAGTTTTTCAATTTTGGGGATTTGCTTTGTTCCAGGAGCTAAACTTTAGCAAGGCAACAGCCTGCAGCCGAGCAGCTAGGAGGTGCTCATGGCCACTGGGCTTCCGCACTGCGGGCACCGCCTGGGCCCCGCCTGCCCGGGAGATGCGGCCTGAGTGGGGAGGGGTTGGGACGGGCTCCTGGGAGGACAGGTGGCACCGTCCGGAGCAACCCCTGGCCTGACACGGAGTCCCAAGTGAAAACCCAAGGGACCTCTCCGACGGGAGGACGCCCCACTCCCATGCGGGGAGGACACCCTAAGACAGCAGCGCGACGGACAGGGCGACCAGCCCCCGAGTCCCAGCTCCTGCCGACACTTTCCTCCTCTAAAAGCTGCCTTCTGCCTTTTTAAACCACTCAAGCTTGTTCCAGTCAACCTTGGGCCCTCCCGCCGGCTGCCGTGGTCCCTGACCGGCCTCACCTCACTGCTGTCGCCCGTCCTGTCCCCCCCCCCCCCCCCCCCCCCCCCCCCCCCCCCCCCCCCCCCCCCCCCCCCCCCCCCCCCCCCCCCCCCCCCCCCCCCCCCCCCCCCCCCCCCCCCCCCCCCCCCCCCCCCCCCCCCCCCCCCCCCCCCCCCCCCCCCCCCCCCCCCCCCCCCCCCCCCCCCCCCCCCCCCCCCCCCCCCCCCCCCCCCCCCCCCCCCCGCTCCTTCGGGTAGGAGAAAGCTGTAACCTGCAAGGGACAGGTGTGGGCCCTGACCGCCGGGCTGCTCACGCCTCCCACTCCTCCCCAGGAAGTCTGTGTCTGAGCTCACTCCTTCCCGACCTGGGACGAGTGTCCTGTAGCTCTGCACTGAACTGTGAGTGGTGTCCCTGGGCCAAGAAGGGTCAGCACCCACTACAGCCAGGTGCGAGCGTCTGGGGTCATCTGGTCCTCGCAGCCATCCTGCAGTGAAGGGGTGACCCTCGGGCTGCAGGGAGGCCCCAGAGGCAGCAGGCAGCGAGGCTGCCCAACGTGTCCAAAGACGAAAGTACTCGGCCGCAAGGGCCAAGCTGGCGCGGACGCAGGCCTGTCCGGCCGTGCAGGCTGCTAGTCACAGCCTCCTCCCACAGTTCACTCCGACAGCCCAGCAGCGTCAGCCGCCCCCCAGCCCTGTCCCCCAGGACCCCGCACGCCTGCGGGAAACACTCCCTCAGAGCCAGGCTGCTGGAGGCCCCACCTGGGAGGCCTGGCATCCAGTCCCAGCGCTGCCAGTGCAGCTGCCCGGGAGCTGGGCGCCCCTGCCGCCCCGGGAAGCCGTGGCCTCCGCTTCTGTTTGCCAAGAGAAGTGGTTGAGTGAGGGGTTCCAGGGTGCAGCTTTGAGCCCTGACGCTCTGAGTTCCTCGGTCCGTGCGATTTGACCGGTTGGTTCTTCTGCTCTGGGACACGGCTCTGGCAGAGCCGCCGCAGGAAGCAGTGGTTCTGTGTGTCGCCGGGAGGCCCCAGTCACTAGACAGTGTTGATATGTGAGACGTGGAAAGCGGAGATAGTCTGTGATTTCCATGGCACATTCCTCTACACTTTAGGGGGCGGCCTTATAGTCATCAATGTTAATAGTTATTTAAAGTGTGTTAGAAAAGCACGACACATATCCTAGGATATATGTACCCCTATGTTCATAGCAGCATAATTCACCGCAGCTAAGATTTGGAAATGGCCTAAGTGCCCATCAGCAGATGAGTGGGTTAGAAAACGGTGGTACATCTATGCAATGGAATACTATACTGCAGTAAAAGGAACTCTTACCATTTGCAACAGCATGGATGGACCTGGAGAGCATTATGCTAAGTGAAATAAGCCAGTCGGAGAAAGATAAATATCACACGATCTCACTCATTTGTAGAATATAATGAACAACATAAACTGATGAACAAAAACAGATCCAGAGACAGAGAAGCATCGATCAGACCATCAAACCTCAGAGGGAAGGCAGGGGAGGGTGGGAGTGGGGGGTAAGATCAACCAAAGGACCTGTATGCATGCATATGAGCATAACCAATGGACACAGACACCGGGGGGAGGGCATGAGTGGGGGTGGGGGGGAGTGAGGCAATAAGGACACATATGTAATATCTTAATAAAGAAAAAGAAATTTTAAAAAATAGGTGACCAAATAGTCCTCAGCCAATGAGGAACCGGGGGAGGGACTAAATAAACAGGCTGTGTCCCCGGCCCCACGGGTGGTCCTGTACACGGGGCACCTGCTCTTGAGAGCGCCATTAAAAGTCTCATTTCTCCATGAAAAAAAAAGAAAAGAAAAACACGACACATGCAGCTCGCTGTGTCATGGATACTGCCTCGGGAATGTCCAAGTAAACGGTGCATTGATTGAAGGTGTGTTTAAGGAAAACGTTAAGTCAGTCCAGGTGATCTGGCAAGAGCTGTGGAGGTGGGGACTTCACAGGTGCCTGAGGTCAGGGACCAGAGTCAGAGAGGATGTCGCGGTTCCCACGGCGGAGCAGGACCCGCAGGCCCTGCGCGCAGCACGCAGCCAGCTCTCTGGCATTCGGAGCCCTTTCAACGGGAGACCGACCGACCGATCGGCCGTGTACACAGACTTCCTGGCCAGGGCCTGGCTCCCCCCAGCACCGCCCGCCGCCGTGGCTCCTCCGCACGGCTGCTCTCAGCACCCGTCCTCCGTCCTTGCGTGAGAAGCTCACAGGACAGTTGCACACTGTCTGGCTGCAGGTGCATTCAATTTGGCCAGCACAGCGGTTGTTTTAATCTCTGAATGTGTGCACAGCCCTGGCCTCTCCACATAACGCCCTCCTGGTCATGCCAGGCCTCTGAAGGCACGAAGGCCGGTGACCCCTGGTTCAGGTCTTACCTGCCCACGATGAGAGCCCTTAAAGGCCCAGAGCACGGGCCTTTGGTGGTGGGAATCCAGAGCCCAGAGCTCCCGGGTCGCCGGCCCAGCGATGTCTTCACACCGGCCTGTTGCGTGTGGGTTTCTTTCTTTCTTTTTTTTTTTAATATATTTTATTGATTTTTTACAGAGAGGAAGGGAGTGAGAGATAGCCAGAAACATCGATGAGAGAGAAACATCGATCAGCCGCCTCCTGCACATCCCCCACTGGGGATGTGCCCGCAACCCAGGTACATGCCCTTGACCAGAATCGAACCCAGGACCCTCCAGTCCGCAGGCCGACGCTCCATCCACTGAGCCAAACCGGCTTCGGCTGCGTGTGGGTTTCTGAGCCAGCTCCGCGGCGTGGGGTCCGGACAGGAGTCAGCAAGGAGGCAGCGGCCGCTCAGCTCTCCTGTGGCTGTGCCTCCCTGGCTGCCTGACGACGTTCAGAGAGGGAGGACAGTGACACCTGGTGTCCGGTGCCATCCCTCCAACCCCGCCGGCCCCGGCTGAGCTCCCCTCTCCGTCCCACCAGCGCTGCCTCTCGGACTCCCCTGTCCGGGCACAGACAGCCTGGAACCAGGCGTCACCAGTCACCTCTCTCTCCCGTGGCCCAGCCCCCGCCAAACCGCTCATTGCACTTGTGGGGACTTTGTGTGTCCTGCCTCCTTTTGGCTCCGAAATTCATCTCTCCCGTGTTCTCGCCCGAAACTGCCTGATCCATGTTCCCACCATACGGCTTCGCCGGTCCTCTGCCCGTGGTCACAGCCCCTCCCCAAGGCCATGGCCTCAGCCGGCCCGTGGCCGGCCCAGGCTGCCCTCCCGGCAGGCTTCCTGCTCCTCTCGCATGGACCACTCTTTTGAGAGAAGGAGAGAAAATGGCTACCATCATTTTGATGGACAGAGATGAAGACTGTCCAGCGCGGGGCTAAGGGCGGGCAGGGCAGCGGCCAGGGCGGAGGCTTGGCTCTGCTTCACAGGGAGTAACGCCCTCCCCCGCAGCTCACAGTGGGCACCGCCGCTGACCCGCTACAGACAGGGACACTGAGGCCCCACCTCAGTCAGCTGGACGCCAGCCTGCCGCTGCCCCTCCAGGTGAGAGAGGCGGAGGAGGCGGAGGAAGAGGAGGCCCGAGGCTCAGGGGAGGGAGGAAGTGGGCGCGCTCCTGCTGACAGACCAGGGCAGCACAGGGAGTGTGTCTGTCGGCCATCAAGCTCCCTCTCAGTCTGTCCTTCCCCTTCTCAGTTTGTGCCCAGGTCCCAGCTTCATCGTGTGGTGGCTCTGAGCACAGCTCTCGGGTGCTGGGTGGCTGAGACCCTGGTGCGCCCAGACCTGCACACACTCCCAGGAGCCCGTTGTTTCCTAGACTTTGCAGAATTAAGAATTTATAAGTCGGACAACAGTTCCTTTTATTTTGTTATCTCTCATAGTAGAAATTCAATGCATGGACAGAATAGCTACCATCAACAAATCAACAAACGACAAGTGCTGGCGAGGATGTGGAGAAAAGGGAGCCCTCGTGCGCTGCTGGTGGGAATGCAGACGGGTGCAGCCACTATGGAAAACAGTATGGAGTTTCCTCAAAAAATTAAATATGGAACTGCCAGTTGACCCAGTGATCTCACTTCTAGAAATATATCCTAAGAAACCAGAAACACCAATCAGAAAGAATGTATGCACCCCTATGTTCATAGCAGCACAGTTTACAATAGCAAAGATCTGGAAACAGCCCAAGTGCCCATCAGTAGATGAGTGGATAAAGAAGCTGTGGTACATTTATACCATTGAATGCTATGCAGCAGTAAAAGAGAAGGCTCTCTTACCCTTTGGGACAGCACGGAGGGCCTGGAGAGTATTATACTAAGGGAAATACGTCAGTCAGAGAAAGACAAGTATCACATGATCGCACTCATATGTGGAATGTAATGAACAAAATAAACTGATGAACAAAGTAGATCCAAAGACATGGAAGCATCGAACAGACTGTCGAATGCATATATGCATGGCCCATGGACACAGACAACAGGGTGGTGAGGGCCTGAGGCAGGGGCGGGAGGGGGCTAGGGGGTCAATGGGGATAGAAAGGGGACAGATGCAATACTATCAACAATAACGGTTAAACATATTCAATGCCTAATTAGCCTCATGTGCTGTTGGGCAGCGGTGGCCAGCCCCCCTCGTGCTCCCCTCCGAGTTCCTGCCAACAAGCAGCGTCCAGCAGAGACCCAGGCCTCAGCTCCCAGAGCGGGGGGAGGGGCCTTGGGCAGCGGGAGGATGCGCTCCATGGGCTCTCTGACGTCTCCTGGCTGCACACAGTCGGGACAGGAGGAGCCGGGGCCGCGCCAGCCCTTCAGAAGACAGCTGCCGCCTGCCCGAGGGGAGCGCCCATCCACGCGCGTGAGGAACCCGCCTCTCTGGTGCCTGGCGACTGAGAGGGTTGTTACAGCAGCTATTCAATCGCGCGGACTCATGCAGCCTCCTCCTCAGTGAAGTGAGGACGAACAGGGGCCAACGAGGGCAGCCCGCTGGTCACCTGAGAGAACAACACTCCCAACCAGCAAGCCTGGTGCCCAGGAGTCCAGACCTGACACAGTCAGCGTCCCTATGGCCCTGCCCACGGTCCTGCTGACCGGGAGCTCCGTGCAGACCGGGAGCTCCGTGCTGACCGGGAGCTGGCGGACTGCAGTCTCTCCCAGCGCGGCCCGTGGAGGCACTGGATACATCTGGTCGAAGTGGGGAATTTGAGAGTCTGATCCGCAACAAGCTGCCACATAAGGTAAGTGTGCGAACGGCTGTGGGAACAGGTAACACGACAACTCGTCCACGTTGGTGGTGAGCAGAGAGAGGCCACAGTGTCTGGCTGTCGCTCACAACAAGCACAGCCGGGCCCGCAGGTAGGACAGCCCCCAGCGTGGGTGTCCCTGCGGCCACTGCTGCTCCCAGGACTCCCAGGTCTCCTCAGTCCTCCAGCGGCCCGGCCGCCCGCCCGCCAGCAACCCCCTTCCTGGCCCCTCTGCCCTCCGTGTCCTGACATGGTCCCTCCTGTCCTTGACCAGAGGGTGGCACTGGGGTCCAGGACCAGAGGGAGGACGCCCACATCCCGTCTCCCACAGTCATCCCGCCACAGCCTCCTCCGCTCACATGTTTCAAGTTCAGGTTGTGGAGAGGCCCTGGGAGCAATAGGACAGTTTGTGTTCAAACACATCTCGGTACCTGTCAGCATGCTCCACGGCACTTAAAACAAAGAGGGACGTCTGCAGAAGTGGGTGCCCGAGGATGGAGGGGGGTTCCTGTCTGTGGGTGGAGCAGTCCGCCACTACTCGGTTCTGCCAGCTGAGGGCAGCAGAGACCGCTTTTCTGCAGCTGCACGGGCTACACTGGAAACCAGACAAGTTCTGGGAACCGGTGGTGGTGGTGGTGGTGGTGGTGGTGGCGGTGGCGGTGGCTGTGGCGGTGGCTGTGGCGGTGGGCTGTGTGACCCTGAGCAGCCCACGCTCGCTCGGCTGTGGCTCAGCCCTGGTGAGCTCTGCACAGCAGGTGGAGGCCAGCGTGTTCCTGGAATCAGGACAGGAACTGGAGCCTGAGTTCAAGCTCTAGCTGGGCTGTCAGCTGCTGTGTGGCTGTTCGGAAGTCACTCAGCCTCTGGATTTTATTTCCTTTTCTGGAAAAGGATGGCGTGGAAGGAGCTGGTCCAGTACGTGTCTTCCTTCAGTGATTTTTTAAAATATATACTTTCACTGATTTTAGAGAGAGTAAGGGAGGGACAGAGAGATAGAAACATCCAAGAGAGGAACATCAATTGACTGCCTCCTGCACACTCCCCATTGGGGATCGAGCCCGCAACTGGGCATGTGCCCTGACCAGGAATCGAACTGTGACCTCCTGGTTCATGGGCCGATGCTCACCACTGAGCCACGCTGGCCGGGCCCTTCAGTGCTTTGAATTGCTCCAAATGCAAAGGGAAACCAAGACACGATAGACTAGAGATCCTTATATCCTGGAACCTTGAAAGTGCACCCTCCCAGGCACAGGCCCCAGCGTGACCAGGAGCAAGAACGGCAGGGCCGGGGATAATGTCAGGGCCGTGAGTAACAAGGCGGGAAATGAGGGCCAGGAGAGAAATGGGATGGGGGTCTCTGCTGGGGCTCTTGTTCCGGCATCTAGAAGGTTCAGAAATCTGGAGAAGGGCTGTGTGTAACTTAATCAAGAGTCCAGAGACGAAGCATAATTTTGAAAGGCATTTGGGGGTCAGAGGAGCCCAGCTAAAGAAACTAAGATCTCCTCGTCTCAGGGCCCCATGCTTTTTATTAACACAAATTGTCCTGAGGTGAGGCAGAGATATACACATCAAAGGGTCAGGGTTTCATTCACAGAGTCAGATTGGAAGAATCGCCTATGGCTGTTCAGGTGTTTGGCCAGTAGGAGGCAATAACATGTAGATTAAGATGCCCTGAGCTGTCTGGCAGCAAACAATCAATTTAATGCGTCCTTTTCAGGTTTGGGGAAATGCCATCAGCCACTCCCAGATTCAGTCCTGCTGTCATGCTGAATCATGAACCCAGGAACCCAACCAGCACTGGGGGACGGACAGCCTCTCTGTAGCAGGGAACGGGCTCTCAAGCCGCCCGCTGTGTATGAAGCTGTGGCTCTGAGCTCAGCATGACCCAGACATACCCAGCAGTGTGGGCGCGGCTCAGCGGCCCGGGGCGTGGTCTCCGTGGTATTCTGAGGCACAGGTGCGCTTTCCTTCACAATTTCCACATCCACATCGTGCGTGATGTTTTGTTTCACACCAACTCATTGGGGGGGGACATGACATGCATGTAGGTAGCATTGTCCCTGAATGAATGAATGAATGAACGAATGATTACGGAGCGAGCTCTGAGTCGGGGGGTCGGGCTGCAAGGACAGGAAAGGCACCTCTGACTTGCACATGGTTCTTCCGAGGATTGGTCTCCTCCTGGGCAGGGAGAACGTGGTGGCTGGTCACTGGGGTCCAGTCCACTGGCCCAGGTGCTGCTGGCAGGCCGGCGATACCCAGAGATTGCCTCCAAGACCTCTGAAGAGATCCGTGGGCAGGGGGAGGGTGGTCCCGAGCTGTAAGCCTGGAGGCAGAGGGAGGCAGCAGGAGGAGTGGGATGCTGGAACCCTCATTGTCCTGCTGGGCACGTGGGCACGCTCACTCCTGGCCTTCAGGGCATCCTGTGGGACCTGGGTCAGTCCAGCCCAGGACGGGGGAGGAATCTGCTCCCTGAGGACCATCGGGAAGAGCGGCCCTTCCCCAGGCAGTGCAGGCACGGGCTTCCCCTTGCAGAGGGGAGGGTGGGTGTGGAGGCTCACTTCAGGGCCTGGCACCGTTGTAGAACCCAGCAGGCTCCCAGCAGAGGATGGGGCCCTGTGGCAGTGCGGTCAGCAGTCTGGCCTGGGGGTCTGCCTGGCTGTCCTCTTACAGTCCTGCCCACGGAAGGAACAGACCAGACGCCTTTGGTGCCAAGTCTCAGGGCCTCCTCGGGGAAGCTGCCCTGGCCTCTCCTACCTTCCACCAGCACCCCCTCCTGCGAACAAAGGGGTTCCCTCACTCAGAGACCTCATGGTGTCAGGCACCGTATTGCTTTTTCTTTTCAGGACTGAATGCCTATCTTAACTCCTGATAGACTAGTGAGCCCTGAGAACAGGGGCTTCTGGTTTCTACTGTGTAGAGCTGCTCACAGGATATGCAGTCAGCAGCCAGCACTGCTGGGAGTAGGCAGGACCTCACAGCACTGGCACCCAGGAGACGCACACCCAGGGACAGGACACCTGTCCCTGCAGCTGGCACGTGTAAGACCCCATCCCTACCCCGAAATTCCGATGGAAATCAGATGACCCTCACGTTCTGAAAGTGTGGGTCACCCATGGAAATAACTGCAGAATCTGCCTGGGGTCGCTATGAGATGGTCTCAGAGGGCAGTGCAAGTATTCTACTGGCCACAGCACGCAGTGTCCCAGAGATCCTGACGTCTCCCAAAGCGGAGCACGTGCGTCACATGGGACCGTCCTGCTTGAACGTGGGATTACCCAGACCTTATCTGATCACCAGCAGAACAATTACTGATATTTGTACCAGTGACCCTTTAGTTCCACCAGAAACAAACACCTTATGTAGAGTGTTACAATAGCTAGAGAAATATATTTTCTAAAAACCATTTTATTTTATTTTTCCAATTTTAAATCTTTATTGTTGAGAGTATTACAAATGTCTCCCCCCGCCCCCGATCCCTCCCTCCACCTGGTTTCCCCCCCACCCCA